CAGGAGTATACGCGTGCAAACGCCAAGGATTCGTTCGCAACAGAATATCTCGGTTACACGCGATTGAGGGGGGGGGAGGTCACACGAGTGGTGACGGTGGGAGGCGATGAGGAACGGAAGCCCACCGACGCACACCTCGCTACGAACCGCGGCGTCGTTCGATCCCCCCCCCCATCCGCTGCCACACGTTACGCATTAAACAAACCACCTTTCTCTCGATCCCCTACCCACAACCACCACCCCCGCCCATCCCACACTTAGGTCGACTCGGCCTAAACAGAAACAAGGGCAGGCGGCCGCTCACGTCCGCCTGCGTCATGCAGCGCGGACACGACCACCGCCGCCGCCATCTTGTGCGGGAGGCCTCCGGCCATGTTGGGTCGCGTCGACGACGAGACGAGGTTATCCGCCGCTACGGTAATCGTCGTCGCCGTCAACCACCCACCTCTTTGAACCACCGGTCGCATCTCAAGCGAAACAAGCGCACGGCTTTTGTTTAAAACAAACCGTGAACGTCGACAGCGCGGGCGCGCGCTCACGAAATACATCGAAAGCAGCCGGCGGGGTGTGTGTGTGCTCCCGCGCTAAGGGGATCGCGTCAACAAACAGCAGCGCCGATCCAAGGCGTTAAACGACTGCGAAGGAATTATTCGCCACGAAAAACGCGAGCGAGTTTTATTTGTAAACCGAGGACGTACCGTGTTCGCAAAATAAAGACATAAAACCGCCGGGTCGCGCGAGAGCGAGGAGACGGAGGCAGAGGAGGAGGCGGCGGAGGAGGAGGCGGCTGCGGCTGCCGAGGTCCCGACGCGCGGCTCCGTGGAGCAGAGAGAGGGGGGACTCAGACCTGCGGCATTAAACAACCACCAATTACCTTGGGAACTTAATTCAATTAAATATAATTAACGGGCGTGCTTGGTCGAATACCGAGCAGGCGCCATAACAGGCTGCTTGAAAGATTAACACAAACTGATAATAAAAAAAAAATATTCAAAAACCAAAAAATCTTATATAAAAATTACTTTCAGATATATCGAATTTACCTGAAATGTCTATATATAAGTGCATTAGCGAGATATAATAATAAAAAAGCGCGTATGCTGAGGGGATGGAGGCAGAGCTGCGGCTCTCACCTCGGCGCGGGGCGGGGACTGAGCGCGGGAGCGCGCGCGAGCCCCGGATATGGCACCGCGCGATGTCACCGCGGGGCCGGACGTGACGTGCAGGGCGGGGCGGTTGGAGGGGGGGGATGTGCGGGAGAAAGCGAACGAGGGGCGCGCGCTCTCTTCCAGAAGTTTCCCGCGCAAACTCCGCCCCGCCCCCCTCCCCATCGAGACCACGCCTACCCGCTTCTCCCTATTTTGGCTCCGCCCCGCCCCTTTTACTTGGTTAGAAGACGACGCACCGGAGTATAAGACGCACCACCAAACTTGTACGGCGCGGGTGTCAATGAAGTTAAACCACCTTGGTTTTACACACGTACACACATGTACCGCATAATAAAACGCACCCCAAACGTTTAACTTTAGAATGCATGGTTAAGTGCGTATTGTAATCCGGAGCATAACCAGGTGACTCTATCTTCATGGACAGTTGATGTTGCTCGTGCGATTCGTGGGGAGTGATCTGACCAAGAGCACTGCCCGCGCAATTCAGGAATATTTTGCTGTTTTTTTCATGGATTTTCTGTTTACACAGTCACATAGTCACTTTAAGATGTTTCCTTGTTCGTGTTTTTTTTGTTTGTTGTGGTTGCACCCGATTCAAGAGCCAAATGGCTCACAGGGCTATACCAAACAAATAAATAACCAATAAATAAACTAAGCTCGGCGATGGGTGGACGTCACCCGCCACGAATCCGGCTGGTGACGTCATCGCGCGGATGTACACGGTGACATCACCTCCGCGCCCGCGTTGCGCGAGTGGGGGTGGGGTCAGCGTTCAGCCTGATGACGTCTTCCCGTTGTCACTTCAGCATGTATGGTGACGTCAACGCTTCAAAGTGTTTAACACGTGGGTTGGCTTTCGCGACCAATATCATATACATGAGGTTTTTTTAAGTTAGATCGTGTAAATATAAATGTCGTTAAACCCGCCACCACCCGACAGCCAATTAGTAAGGTTTGTCACGTAAACAGAACGTGCCAATTCGTTACGAGCAAAGCCACAACATTTACAATCTGAGTACGACGTTTCGCCAGTAATTACAACCGGTATCATCAGGCAACAGCCAGATAACGTTGTTTGAGGGACTCTTCATCAGGACCCATACCTCTCAACCCCTTTTCAGTGCCTACCGTATTACAGACCAATTCAGAGCTTATTGGGTACCCTGGGCCCTTTTATAGCTCAACGTTCATCCTACAAAGTCCCATCACAAGCGAGAAATATCAAATGTTAAAGAAGCGCTACGATTAAATGGCAACAATAATGCTCAAATTAACAGCATTGAATGTCAAAGCAAGATCGACCGAAGATCGAACAGCAATACTGCTGAAAGCGATCAGGTTATTAAAACAATTAAAATGCCATATATTGCAGAAGTAATTAATAAATTAGCTAAAGTTTTGGAAAAAAACAAATCTGAGTAAAATTTGGCATGGTACACAAAACAAAAAAACTAGTATCTTGTACTAAAGATGAATTTCCTAAGTTATCAACAGAAGGTGTGTATCTGATTAATTGCTGATGTTGCAGATGCGATATTGGACCGACGGGACATGACAGCGTAAAGCTAAACGAACACCAAAGAAATATAAAATAGGGCCGTCCATAAATGACGTCAACGCACCTAGGGGGGGGTCAGACTCAGAAATTTGTGACGATGTGTGACGAGGGGGGGGGTTTGAGAAATGTGACGTCACATCAAAATGCGCAACTTTAAATAAATATAGAATTGTTATAACAACACTAATTATTATAACACTTCTACAACATCAGAGTGCAGCGCCACATTAAATACGCACTACAATGACAGTAGTTTAAAGCGATTTGAAGCATGTTTAATTTGGGGGGGGGGGGGGCAGAGCGTTGTGACGTCATATTTGAGGGGGGTCTGACTTTTTTGTGACGAGGGGGGGGGGGTAAAAAATTGTCCAAAATCGCGTGACGTCATTTATGGACGGCTCCATCCTCTCAAACACAACTGTCGGCAGTTACAGAACATGCTTGCCAATGACACTCAATTTATTTTGCTAACGTTGAAGTGTTGTGTAAAACTAACTATTACTGGTCGAGACTAATTCGACAATCCATTGAAATTGAAAGACATACAAATAGTTTTAACCGCTCTGACAGCTTCAGGCTGAGTGCGGCCTGGAAGCGTATTATTAATACATCTTACAACTGCATTTCTTATAGAGGAAACACATGCTAATTATCTAATTACTAATATATAATATAATTACAATACCCTCCCTCCTCCGCCTCTGATCTCTGCATCTGATTGGTTCAATGATGGCCTAATCTTGCTCTATTTAAGACCGGAAGCAGGTGGATTGCTTCACTATTCTGGCAAATACCCCGATTCTGGTTGATGTAATTACCAGCAAAACGTAACATTCAAATTGTAAATGTTGTGTGGATTTCCACTCCGCACACCGGTGGGCTGAAGTATTTAATTGGCGCGTTGTTTACGTGACAAACCTTACTATATATTCTTGGTTCTTTCGGTAAAGTCACGTAGAAAGGAAACGTGACTTTACCGAAAGAACCAAGAATATGAATCCCTGCAGTCACGAAAGCTTTAAATCAAAATGAAACCTTACTATATGGCTGTGTTGGGTCGTGGAGGGTTACGACACATTTATACTTACGCGATCTAACCTAAACACCTTTATTATGACAAACATTTTGTTGTTGTTGCTCGTATTGAAACGGCTATACGCCGTATGGACCTGAAAACTCAATATCCCTGTACAATAATACGGTTAAACCGTATGGGTTGACAACTATGAGGACCTCAATAACTTCTCTCGACAAACTGAATGGAGTTCAAAATAACTCGCAAACACTTCGTGAAAGACCCAACGCAGAAGATCACTTGATTTGATAGCTTCACGAAGCTCATGGTAGATGTGGATACCTGATGCACAAAAGTAAACTTAAAAGCACTCCAGTGCGCGACTGTGGTCACCCAGAAGAGACCGTACACAACCTATAACTACGCAATGCCCAATCAACAAATACGAAGGAGACATCACGGCGATACAACTCCGCTGATCCTGGACGATGTTGCCTGGCTTGACCACCTTAATGTAAAATTGTAGTTGTTCCTCTGCAACAACATCAGCCACACGAAACAATGGCGAACCCATCTTCCGGAACATTTTGGATCCCATTGTTAATTGGGAAATTCGGCAATTTCCCATGCCTGTCCCCGGCAAGAGAAGACTCATTCTCGACTTAATGCGTATTTTCCTCCGAGATCGCTTGACGGGCACTGGCTCATTATTGATGCTTTCTTTACCACTGTGGTCGGCATGAATCATAATATAACTTGTACCGCGCGGTAATTAACGCGGTGCGTTGAGCCAATTAAATTTAAGATTGAGATCTCCTTGTGTGCGTGCGCACGCGTTACACGTGACGAAGCCGGCGTAAATTGCATGGCGCATCACGTGGCACGCGATTAACAATCATCGGGCGGGTGCAGCGTGGAACGAGTTAATTTGCATTTGAAAGTGGAGTAAATTGGTTAAACGCGTGGTGGGTCGCAAGGAGTTTGGGAAACCCTGCCCCATGGGCAGCTGTTCCTGTGCAGGACAAAGGTGACTCAAGAGCTGGCTCAATGATGGGCAAGCCTGCCAGGAGGGTGCGATAATTGTGAACCAAAGCAGCGGACTAGAGTGGCTCCAACAGTGTCTATAATGGTTGATGACGATGATGATCAATTCACTCATGGATGAAAGTAGTGTTCGTCTTAGGGGTTGGTTGAAGGCAGTCGCTTTAAACTACAGTGAACAGAACCATTGTACAAAGAAATACAAGCCGCGCAAGGGAATGTTTAAAATGTATTTATTTTATATTCCAACATTTCACACGACCAAACTAAATATAAACACCCTGCCTAATGCAAACCAGGGTACACAATACTATGTACTATGCTCTGTGTGTGTATAACTGTGGCCCAACTTACATACACGTTGCACTTAACATAGAAGGTAAATAATTCGCAATCGGCAACAGACAAATCCCCTCAGCCAAATGGTGGTGGTTGCAACAAAAGCCACAGTTCTGGGATTGTGAAACACTGTTGCCACCAATGCCGTCCAGTTCAAGGAGTTTAACTCCTTTGTAAAATTATATTTACCAGGCATTTTGTCTGGATCAAAAACAACGATTTTTTTTGTTTAAGGCCAGCAAGGCCAAATTACACTTCAAGTGTTTGTTAACGTGCCTCCGCAGTCCTAAATTTGGGACACCGCACCCCATTATAATCCCGACACAATTATTCTTAACACGTTTTATAATGAACACCTGGACTTGGAATGAGTCAAATTAATCAAACTATATAATCAGCCTCATGAGGAGTATAATCGGTGCGCCTCTCAGATACATACGCTTCTGGTAAAAGGTAAAGGGGCAGGACCTGCAAATGCTTTCTCACACCACTGCTGGCCTTTTGGCCAGCAGTGGTGTGAGAATGGAGCCCTAGTCGAAAGTCATTTGGAGGGTATTTGGCCTACTTTTCCATGCTGGCCAGATATCTTAGAAGTGAGAGTACCCAAACTTTACCCGAATAAACAGGGCCTCCTGTGGACCGACCGTGATGTACCTATACTTCTGGATGGACAGAGGATGTGGGGGTTTAAGAAACTTTACCCAATAGTTCAACAGCTGTGCTGGGAGATTTAACCGGCAACATCTCGGATTCTCAGTCCAGTGTGCTTAAACCACGATGGTATCCTGACGCTTATGAACAGGGGTTTTTCTGGGACCATTCCATATTAAGTTGGTGCCATTTCAATTTCACTGCATGCACACCTTGATAATTCGCGATGAACATTACTTGCCTATGCACATGAGACGCTGCATCTTGTACTGGTATGCACAGTTAAAATGTCTAAACGGTATTTGAACAGGCCATTTGGATATTTACTCACCATGTCAGCTGCACTGATGTAGGGCCATTGTCTGCAACGTTATTCTATAATTTTCTCAGGCAGTGTTAATGATGAATGTGGCGTTTGATTCCTGGATTGTGATCATGACAAGTCCCTTGGTGATTTGTTCCACTGAAATATATACATATAATTATGCACACACACTGTTTACACCATAGTGGTCCACCTACATGTGACTGGCACTCACTGGAGTTTCAAATCTGAATAAATTACTCCACGAGTGAATATAACTCTTCTTACTCACTGCACCCTAAATGTAGAATCTTGAAAAATATGTCAGTCTTGAGTGACAATCATTACAGGTTGTCTAGCCATTGTATTTTCAAGAACCTAATTTTCAATCAAAAAACTACCTTTTCAAGAAAAAGCATCACCGGCCATGGTCAATCCACTACTGGATGAAAAAATAAACCCAGCAATTTTATGGTCCCAATCACCTTCCCCAAAAAAATTATCAGCGTAGAGTGATCTGCCTGGGCAATGGGGGCACCTCATGGCCCGAGGCTGATCTCAGGCACTGTGACCACAAACCGGCCAAGAGTAAAATTTCATTCACCTCCACCTGGCACAGCCAATTTATAAGGTTTGTGACGTGAACAAAACGGAGAGCAAGCCCACAACGTTAACAATTGAGGATGTTCTGTTGGTGATTACAACCAGCACCCTCAGGCATTTTGCCAGAAGTGTGAAGATTTCTTCCTGTTTTTCGGTCTTAAATAGGGGAAGGTGACATCATCAACGTGTGCCTCCACGTGAGAAGGACCCAGAGGGGTTAATGTATTTGTATGAATATATATTATGTTAATATACAAGTATACATGTAACGCATTAGGTTAGTCACAGTTAACATGCTTGATCTTGGGGAGACTTTCATCCAGCAGTGGATTGATAATAGCTGGCGATGAAGGCAAGGGGCAAGGCAGGAGGGGACAATTTGTTCCGATCTGGCCAGAGCAAGAGGCGTGAACAATCCTACATTGTACAGGCTATCCAACGCAACGTGTAAACCGTGCACGTTTCAATAAATATGGTGTGTTGACACTTTATGCTGCTCCTAAAAATAAACATTCGGGTTTTAACTGTTTAATTATACAATTGGTGTACTGCCAAATCATTTTAATTTTGTGCAATTGCTCTAGAGCTGTCCTCAAGAGGCATGAGAGTGCCTGAGAGACTCGAGACAAAATGTTTTAGGAGCGTTTCGATACGAGCTTATTTTAGCCAAATTCAGAGGCATGTCTGGCTAACGCGATCAATCAGGCAGCACGGATCATGCAGGTGTGTGCGGCAGGGACTCCGAGCGGCATCATGCCTGGCCCTCGATAGTTTAAAGCAACTAAACCCCCCGGCTACCGCCTAACGATCGCACTTTCGTTACCTGTTCATTGCTTAAGAAAACGCATCAACACATCACTGACAGCTAGCTTGTACACATAACACTTTACTCTCTACCACTTAATAAACATATTGCGTAAACCTGTCAGTTTACATTTAGTTTCATATACTGTACGTCTTAAATCAACTAAATAAATCAGCTCAGCTAACATTAATTGCCTATTGACAAATGCACTCAAGTGCCCGACATTCGAAGCAACGCTCGATGCAGATACGTATAAAAACATGTAAATAATGTATGTGTGTTGCTGTAGATCTAGATACCAGACTAAAAAAAGTGACTGAAGGGCAACCGCATAAATCAGGAGGGAAGTGCAAAGGCATGCAAACGACTGCATTTCTGCAGACATCGCCAAACCGCATGCTCTGCGTCTTGATTTACACAAAATTACCCCGCGTTATTACGGGCTATGCAGCCAATGAGCCCTTGTGTGTCAAGGCAAATAGAAATATGCAGAAGCGCAAAGTTCAAGCTATCAAAACGTCATTAATTTGAGTCGTTGCCCATTTTATGAAAATGAGGCAAATATGTCTCCACATTTAATAAGTTAAAATGTTCTGAAGCGAGGTTCTGGCAGCGCCTGGAACTGTAAGTTGCAAGAGGAGTCAGGTTTCCCTGAGGGTTTCCTGTCAGAAGTGAACGTATTAATTGAAACGAAATGGGGAAAGTATCTTTCAACTGGCCGTATGGAACAGCAAAATTAATGCGTGAGGCTGGTGGAATGCCCCGACTGACTCTACGAGCTCCACAATGCGAAAATTTAGATTTAACTCAAGGGAAAAACCTTCTTTCGCTTCCAGACACCAACACCTGAGGCTTAATTTCTCACTGAACAGTTTCCTGCTTGATGGTAGTCTAGAGTAGGTGGCACATAACATCCACAGCCATAAGAAGAGGTATACTGGTTTACCGGTTGCAGAAACATTTTCTAGGTCGCCAACCCAAACAGACCTTACTGCAATTAAGCCCTGGCCTACACGATTTGCTAAACCAACGTTAATGCTTCCACAGATATCCATTGACCCTGTTTGTGTGTTGACGTGCGTTTGTAGCTGCGCGTGCGTGCGACGGTGCCCTCCCATCTCCCCTCACGAGCCGTCGGCGGGGACATGCTCCTCGAATCCCTCGCTCTCTCGCACGAGAGCGCGCTCCAGGATCACGCGGCCCTCCTTGTAGCGTTGGTTGTCCTCGGTGGCGAACTCGTACATCCAGCCCAGCTTGCTGTTGCAGTTCTTGCAGCTCACGTCACGCACCATGTGGCGGCCCGTGAGCATCACCCGGTCCTGAACCTCACTGAACGACAGGTTCACCACCTGCCCGGGGCATGCGCCGGCACACAACGCAGGGGTCACTCATTGTCGGCGCTTTAAGGGTTACACCAACAGTTGATTTGTCTACGTTGCAGATGTGTGTGTTATAATCCTGGGTCTGAATGTCATGTCACGTATCACCCAAGCTCGATTCTCAGTTTGTGTATTGTCGTTTCAATCAATAAACCCATTACAGATCGATCTGTTCCATGATGAAGCCTCCTGGTGTGTAGATGCCGTGTCCCCGAGTCATTTCTCCCATCAGCCATTACGTATTATTATCTTAATGTCGTGTTATCAGGGATTCATGTCCCACATGATATGTCTGTCATGTCTCTCGGTGCATGTGTCATATCCCAACGTGTCTAATCATAACAATTTTGTACGCCATGTCTCTCATTTGTGCGTGTCATGCCTCTCAATGCAGTGTCATATGCCCCATTGTGTGTGTCCGATGTCTCCCAGTGTGCGGGTCGTGTTGCCCAGTGTGCGGGTGATGTCTCCCAGTGTGTTGGTCGTGTCTCCCAGTGTGTTGGTCGTGTGTCTCAGTGTGCGGGTGATGTCTCCCAGTGTGTTGTTCATGTGTTCGAGTATGTTGGTCGTGTCTCCCAGTGTGTTGGTCGTGTCTCCCAGTGTGCGAGTGATGTCTCCCAGTGTGTTGGTCGTGTCTCCCAGTGTGTTTGTCGTGTCTCCCAGTGTGCGGGTCGTGTTTTCCAGTGTGCGAGTGATGTCTCCCAGTGTGTTGGTCGTGTCTCCCAGTGTGTTGGTCGTGTCTCCCAGTGTGCAGGTGATGTCTCCCAGTGTGTTGGTCGTGTCTCCCAGCTTGCGGCTCGTTTCTCCCACTTTCTAGGTAGTGTTTGCCAGTGTGTGGGTCGCGTGTCGTAGTGTGTCGTATCGCTCAGTGTCCGTATAATGTACCCCACGGTGTGTTCGTTCTGCCCCCCTTTGTGTGCGCCATGTCTCCAACGAACTCAAAGACAATAACACAAGCGAGAGGTCGCATTATGAACCCTACACTCGTATCCCCAAGTGCGTGCGGTCATGGGGCAGTACAAGTACTTTATTGAAGAGGAAGGCGCGTCCCGTGGCCCCTGTGAATCTCGTGGAGATAAGCTCGGAGCGGTTCGTCAGGATCGTATCGCAGTTCGCGCACGAGAAGAGCCGAGTGCCGCCGATGTGGTCCAGGAAAATGCGACCCATCCTGCCCGCACGCGCCACACAGCCGCTGTTAGTTAATACGGTTATGAAACCACTCTTTGTACCACGGGAACACCGCGATCCCCCACCGCAGCCCAAACAACCACCGTCTCCACGCCCCAAGCTCTCCTTTGATCTCAAAGTCAATAAGCGACGTGGCTTTTTAAAAGGGACGAACAACGGTTTAGACATCACCACAGCCGCAACCACTCTCACAGCGAATCACAAACCAGCATTAGCACAGCCGCGTCGACGACATCAACACGACCGTCGCCGACCGTCGCCGTTCGGCACAGCGTCACTGCCGCCCACGAAGCGGTTCGAAAGCTGCGAGGAGCGAGCAGACAACACACGGGGGCCCGTATAAAACCAGGCCGCAAAGGCCCCGCGCGCGGCTTGGCGTCTCCGGGAAGTGCCGACTGTTCGCGCCGCGCCTCACGAACTCGCCTGGGAGTTGCGGATCAATGGACGCTCGCGTAATCTCCGTAAAGAAAAATAAACCCCAAAATATAAATCCCAGGAGTCGCCTGACGAAGCTCTCGGTCCGAGGCGGCGAAGACGGCGGCGGCTGAGCAGCTTTGTGATGGCCGCACCATATAAGGCAACGTCAACACGATACCGTCACGCCCAAGCGCCGCGCCCATTGGTCGGTGCGCGTGCGCGTGACCGCGATCAGCTGTGAAAAATCCGCGAAAATAAACACGTGGGGGCGGAGCGGATTTGCGGGGTGGAGCTAAAGTGGGGGAATCGGGGACTCTGTGATCTCGACGGGGTATTTATAGAAATGCATTTATTTTTTTCTTCTTGCCGGATTGCCCAGGGAAACCTCGCCGAGTCTCAGTAATCTTCTCAAGCAGAGTCCTTCACTGGAATGGTTGGCCAGTGCCATTAATAAGTGACTGCCCTCCTCGTGTGGGATTGAGATGGCCTCGGTGTGATGCTATATTTTTCGCAGCAGTGACTTTTGTTTGAAACAAATTAACTATGTAATCCTCCATAATAGAGGTTTTTGGGTTAAGCAAAGCAAACTCGGTTGTAATCCTCTCTGAATCTAAGGCAGACATAATAAGAACTCCGTGCTGTGTATACAACTAAAATATATTTTCTTATCAGACGATTGCTTTTCGAGAAAAATATTGATCATAATTTGTTTAAGCAAAGCAAACTCGGTTTCAACCTTCAGAGTCGAAAGGATACTCTTCAAGAGGGTCCTATCGCATTGAGATGTTTGGATAATTCCCATTAATGAGTGCGGGAGTTGAAATGGAGCACTCTTTGTCCTCGTTTGAAACACAGTATGTAACAATAATTTGTTTTAATTACCTACAAAAGTCTCAGGAGGGTCCTGGCACCGAATGTCACGATTTGCTTACCTCGATAATAATCAATTACCACAATTCAAGAAAATATTACTTTTTTTGTTTCATTTTGGTTAATATCATCATGGCAGGATGAGTCACACAAATCTTTGATGTAGAATTGGGAAAACATCACATGTGTAGCGCCATAGATGGAACGGTACATCGTACCGTCAGGGGAGGGGCTGCAGTGCCAGCCCAAGAGGGGAGGGGCTGCTGGGGGCTCAGGATCCCCAGACAGCTAAGCCCCTCGGCGCCCCCAACGGGGGGGCTGCGGGGGTTCTGGGATCCCACGCAGCCCCCACCCCTCAATGGGCAAGGGGCATAAAAGGGGACCTCCCCAGCCGGTCTGGACCAGTTGTAGACCGAAGCCGAAGCGCAGCTAGATAGGACCCTGAGACCCCTCGCCGCGCTGTCCTTATCAGGGCCGGGACTCTGTGCGGCTCAGTGGTGAGACCCTGGGAACATCTGGCCCCGACGTCCTTGTAAGGGCCGGGTCCAGTGGATCAGTGGTCGGAACTCGCACCCTGACTAGGGCGAGTTAGAATAGCCTCTCCCTAGGCACCCATAGCCGGAGGACCCTGAGTGTCGTCCTGTGTTAGGGCACGTTAGCCCGGAGGCAGTACCTCCCCAGACAGTAGCTGTAGGAGGACAGTAACCCTGAGTGTGCTGGGACTGTACTGCCGAGCGAGGTCGTTTAATAAATAGTGTTGTCTCCAAGAACCGACTCCGACGTCTCCTGAATCCACAACACTACTACACATGTACCGTGAGCTTAAAGGATCGCTTTGTAATAATTTAATCGGCGAATCATTATAAGCCGGAGCAGGACTCCCAGGGAGTGACGGACTTAGAGATAAATCTGAAGGGGATTTTATGTGTTCATCAGGTTTCTGACTCCAATCTGCATCATCCTTCGCTTCGCTCCACAGAGCAGCAACAGCCACATGGCAGACACGGAGGCAGTGTAACCCGCAGGAGGCGCTCGCGTCGCCTCGAGCCCGATTAGGCAGAAGTTGAACGCGTTTGCCTATCTGTGCGTTCTGGTGTTCGGCCCTCTTGCACAATTGAGTAACTCTGCACAATGGGGTTGTTGTGCAAGAGAGACGCTTACAAGGATGGCGAAGTATTAATGCAGCGTGTGACGATTATGAATGCTATAATGGCTTAAATAACGAGGCTTGTTTTCAAAAGGGAAAGTTTAATACAATGACTGTTTTTCTTTAGTGTAACTAATGCATTGCAATGACAAAGTATCATTACCATTGAAACATGTGAATCACGGCTTCCTTTTCAAGGGCGTCCTGGGTTACACCAAGTCAAACCCCAAACACAAACCGCATAACCAAGAAGCCTTAATGCTAACCCCAAACCCAGACACGAACCCAAAACCATGACCCCGTTCCGAATAACTAACTCTTAACCCAAACACTAATCCCTAATCCAAACACTAATCCCTAACCCAAACATAAACCTTTTACCAGAAAACTAATCCTACCCAAATCACTAACCCTAACTTGAACACGAATTATAACCCGAACCCTAACAGTTATACAAACTATAATTAAAACCCCATAATTACCTCTAACATTAATTAGAACCTTTATTGGAATAATAACACAAACCAAATCCCTAACACTTATCGAAGCCCTAAATATTTAAACCCCAACACCAACCTTATCCATAACCCAGATCCTGACCCCTAGCTCAAACTAGAACTCCCAAGCCACACATAAAATGCCCCCCCCCCACCCGCCAGGCTATGAGGAGGGAAGTTGGGTAAGGTTCCTCTTACAACATCAGTACCGCCACACCCAGCGAGCAATGACCAGACCCAAGTACTGTAAAGAAAACATGCTCTGAGTGATGGTAAACCAGTACAGCCCCTCTGTCAGTCCAATCCACTGATATACAGGGGCGTAGGCACTGTGGGTATCGTGGATGTCCAGACACCTCGACATGTATAGACATGGCTAAGAGACACCCACAGCATGTTTAGATGTGGTTAAAAGACACCCACAGCATGTGTAGATGCGGCTAAGAGAAATCCACAGCATGTGTAGATGTGGCTAAAATACACCCACAGTATGTGTCGATATGGCGAGGAGACACGTACATTTTTTTAAAGAGAAATCATGGCATATTGAGTATGCGTATTTCTCCTTTCAACAAGGTGTCAAAACTGCCGATGGTGCCGATGACGGAATCATTAAGTAGAGAGCAGCGCACGCACAGTCGGCTTGGCACCGAGGCCACGGATCCCATCTGCAGTCGACCCAACAACCACTCTGAACCATTGGGCAGGAGGACAACCAAACCCCAACGCCTGGATGGGGCCTCTCCACAACGTGCGGGCCGTGAGGGTTACATATGACCATACTTCACCACGCTGGGCAGAGTGGGTTGTTGAAGGTGGGGAGCACCGTTAATTTTGCTACACCACCCCCTGCTGCCCAGTACGTAGCCCTGCAGCAGCCTAGTACACCCTGCTGTGCATGGTGGTTACCCACCCAATAACATAACCAGCTTCAACCCGCTTAGCTTCCGATATTTAATGGGATCGGGCGCATTCCGCGTGATTTGGTCATAAGACTGAATAACAGTAATACGTATTCGCTTTACAGTCATACGCTTTACTCAGAAAAGCCTCGCTGAGTCGCAGGACTATTTTGATGTTGGCAATGGACACGGGAAATAAATCCAAAACATTGCAAACACATCTTTCTGCTGATTGAATGAATCACTTAGACACTGAGCAAGCATCGGCTCACAAGGGCAAATAACTCGGAGCATTTCTCAGGAACATGGCCTCATGAGAGATCTATTGGAATACTTAGCCAATTCCATTCATGAGTTTTACTTCGTGTTGGAGGATGACTGGAAAAAAAACCCACGCATGCGAGTGGGTAACTCTATCCTATACAGATGAGTCATCTGTAGATTAGCCCACATTTGTTGTACCGCATTATCCTGGCCACTCCTCGTATGCATGTTTTTTTTTTATTCCTCGGTTTTATTTTTCCTCTATGACGTGAGGGGGTACGAAACAAGAAACAGCCCTGACGACACAAAACACTGCAGTGGCGTTTCCATAAACAAGAAGGAATTCCTCTCGGGAATGATTTAGAGATGATTTCGTGCGGGCGCAAATATCCCCGGACAGAGACGGACCGCGTTGTTTTTTAATCACGACAATAATGTCTGCAATGTGAGACTCGCGACCTCTCGACCCAGCAGACCCGCCCGTCACCCCCCTCCTCTCCACGACCTCGCGACGCTCACACACTCGCGTTTCCACAGCGCGATGGAGTTAATCTAAAGGCTACCAAACGTTCCCGGGGAAGTATGTATGGTCCATCAACGTCCCACGACTTTCTCCACGTGGGGTGGTGCCCTAATCCAGCAGTGAATTGGCATAAGGGCCGTTGCACACTTGTACACTACGTGCGCAAGTGCTATGCGAACTCAAAACACTCATTAATTGAATTCACGAGCAGACGTCCTAATTTAGCTTTGCGGGAACCTCCTGAAACACAGCGTTTTGAGAATCAGTGAGGCATCCCTGGGTAAATAAATATACTGCACTGTACTGTTTGTGTAAATTCATGGGTGGGTTGGTGGGAATGGGACCGTGTGGAGCCCGTGGCAGCTGCAGCCGTGGGAAGAAAGGGGGATAACGACGAGAGGGAGTTCCCGGGCCCATGTGGTCGGTGCTGCAGGAGTGTAGGGGTGACATGCGTCTGTCTTTGCGCGCCAGAGGCGTCACGCCGATCCAGGCTATATTTGACAGCGGTTGAGCAGGCGCCCGGCTTAAAAGTCTGCCCCCTGTCTGCTGCGTCTATCCATGTGTGTCTGTGTGTTCACGTCTGCCTGTCTGTGCATTTCAAACTGTCCATATCTGTCCGTGCCTGAATGTGTCTGTATCAAGGCCGTAATTATAATAATATATTTTAGGCAGGAAATTCCCCAATATATTCAAATATGCTCAAAATGTCCTCCCCCCCATATATTGTTATAACATAGATTTTTGTTTACATGATTGTGGTTATGGTTGTACGTTATAAACAAGAAAAGGTAAAAAAACCCAGAGCAATGTAATACAATACACGATTAGACATTATTGTAAAAAAAATAATTAAAAGTCCATCCGATGTGTTAGTGATTTTTTTTTAATGTGCTCGCAAACAGCACTTGCTCCTACAGTCTATGGCTATGCGGGGGGGGGGTCTTCGTCTCTGTTGTTTGTTACGTGTCAGTCTCTCGGTCTGCCTGCCTCGTCTGTCTGCCCCTGTCCGTGTGTGTTCACGTCCGTCCGGGGCTGACTGCGTGGTAAGAAACCCTTCGCAATGACCCACGCGCGGGGCAGGGAGCGGGGCAAGCGGCATGGAGGGGCTGAGTGGGACGGGTGTGAGCGAGCTGGGTGAGTGAGGAGGCGGGGTGAGGATGAGGTGATGGAGGTGAGGCGGGAGGTGAGGGAGGGAGTGAGGAAGTCCGGAGCAGGATAAGGGTTGCGAAATAGCGAGGAGGGTGAGTCAGGAGGGTGAGGAAGAGTATGAGAGATGAGGGTTTATGGTGAGAAGAGGGCCTTGGGGTGAGCCAGGAGGGTAAAGGAGATGATGAGGGGTGAGGGTTTCGGGAGGGGAGAAGGGTAAGTCGGGAGGGTGAGGAAGAGTATGAGAGATGAGGGTTTATGGTGAGAAGAGGGCCTTGGGGTGAGCCAGGAGGGTAAGGGAGATGCTGAGGGGTGAGGGTTTCGGGAGGGGAGAAGGGTAAGTCGGGAGGGTGAGGACGAGTATGAGAGATGAGGGTTTATGGTGAGAAGAGGGCTAGAGGTGAGCCAGGAGGGTAAGGGAGATGATGAGGGGTGAGGGTTTCGGGAGGGGAGAAGGGTAAGTCGGGAGGGTGAGGGAAGGGTGATGATTGATGGGCTGGAAAGGGAAAGTCCGCATTCCGCTGCGAGCGTGGGGAATGTATCTCTGCTCTCGAGCACAGAGCCGCCACATTCGACAGCGAACTAATAATTACCGTGATAATAATAGCAGCAGTAATAAAACTGTACCCGTATATACATCATCATCATACAACTAACTACCCACTGAGCCTGCAGCAGGGTGAGGGCCCTCAGTGTGGGTGCCCAGGGGACTGAGACCGCAATGACGCCCCTCTGGGGATCGTGTGTTCGGTAGCTTCGTACCCTACTTGTCCGCGAAATTATCTCACAGGTACACACCACACACCGAGGCGAAGAGCCACCGCTATTATTGGACTCTGTGATTCGTTTAATACAAAACTGTTAACGTGTGTTGATAAGAACGGTACAGTATACGTTGTTAACCGCCAGGGGGAAATCGCCATTGAGTGATTATGGAGTTGTGCGGCTCCGCAGCCCTGGAACGCACCCCGGGTGATGCGTTGTTTGATGTTCCCGTTGTAATTACTGCCGCATGCGATTAGCAGGGTTGGGGAAGATGATGATGACGATGGGTGATTCAGTCGGCACAGGACAATGATTCGTGCGTGAATTCTGCGGACATGACGTCACCCGCTCAGCTGAGGTGACGTCACCTCAATTAATGTTAACGACGTCATCATTCGCCTGGTGTGTTGGGATTATGCCGTGATTAAACAGTGTGGCATTCGGATAAAAACATATAAACGTAATTGAAGAAAATACATATAAAAGTATGTACGGTGCTTCAAATAGTATATTGTCGTTTCATTGTTTATTCAAAACAACACTCAACACATTCCGTGTCAATGAGACTGTGTGTGGTCTTAAAAGGATAAAAAATATAATCGGCGACGTTTGGGCAATGGCCCTTCTTCAGCAGCACATACATTAATGTATATTCACAGCAGCGCTTCGGACTCGATGGTGAGGAGGTGAAATGATTCAATCTATTGCCAGGGGGAGAATCTCCAGAGGAGAATCAATTCCCGTGATTGTATTGCATGCATCGAATCATGCGCGTTTAATATCAGTTGCGCCCGATTCACGTGCTCAAAATAAACTGTTTACGTTTGTTGCATGGAACCTACAACTACTGCAGCACAACTGGATTCAGTACTCTATACTAGAACTGCGATTACAACTCTGAATCGATTATGAAATATACTCGCTATCAGCGATACGATTAATCGAACTCTGTTGCGGATTATGGTGGCGATACTGCTGCGTTGGCAGTGGCGCACGGGCAAAGTAAATTAATTAAACTCAACACGTTCCGTTGTCAATAAACGCTGCCTTAAATTATATAACAAACGACGTTTCGGGCAATGGTCATTCATAGCATTCCCATGCTAGAATCAGAATATTTTGTAGAATCCGATGAGCTGTGAAGCTTTTTTGAACGCATGATGGCCAGTAGGGGGCCACTGCCCGAAACGTCGTTTTATATATTTTCCTCCACAAGCCACAGAGACGAACGTGTCGAGAGAGAGACGGGGGGGGGTGTTCGAGTTCACGCGCAGCATTCTCCTCCGCCATCTTGCTCAGGGAAGCTCCGCTGTACTCTTACGCGGCGACATCACACCGCTTACTCCCCCCCCACCCCTCGTGACAGCGCAGCGGGTAGGGACAACTGTTGCGCGTCTCTCCCTACGCAACATGGCCGCGCGTAGGCCGGAGGGGGTGGTGGGGGCGGGTGGGGGGTGACGTCATGGCCGTGGCGGGGCGGCCCCCACGGTGCCCGGCGAGGGGGGACCCGGGCGGTTCGCAGAGACGGCGGCAGTGGAAGCCACGAGGGCAGCAGCAACAGCAGCAGTGACAGCAGCTCCAGCCAAAGCAGCGGAATTTGAAGCAACAGCAGTGACAGCAGCAGCATTTGTTTGAACCAGCAGCAGTATCTGAAGCGGCAGCAGTTGACAGTGGCAGCAGCAGTCGGACACCAGCAGCAGTGACAGCAGCGGTAGAAGCATCCTCCTCCTCCGCAGCAGCAGGAGAAATCTGAGCAGTAGAAAATCGGCAGCGGGCAGCAACACAAGCTTCAGTACCAACAGCAGCAACAGAAGCCGCCACCATGTTCAGCTGGTCCAATAAGGACGCGACGGACGGCAAGAACCCGGAGATGTTCCAGACGGTGTCGGGCGGCCTCAAGAAGCTGTACCGCACCCGGCTGCTGCCTCTGGAGGAGCACTACTCCTTCCACTCGTTCCACTCGCCCGCGCTGGAGGATGCGGACTTCGACAACAAGCCCATGGTGCTGCTGGTCGGGCAGTACTCGACGGGCAAGACCACCTTCATCCGCTACCTGCTCGAGCAGGACTTCCCCGGCATCCGCATCGGGCCCGAGCCCACCACGGACTCGTTCATCGCCGTGATGCACGGCGACACGGAGGGCACCATCCCGGGCAACGCGCTGGTGGTGGACCCCAAGAAGCCCTTTCGAAAGCTCAACGCGTTCGGGAACTCGTTTCTCAACAGGTAACCACCCCGGGGGGTGGGTAGGGTGGTGGTGGTGGTGGGGGGGGGGACCTGAACAACATTCCCCGGTTGGGGCGGGGGGGCCACTCGGGAATGCGGCGTCGGGTGGCGGCGGCGGCGGGGAGTAGGGTGAAGATGGTCAGCCTGCGGGTTACAACTGAGATGGTCAGGTTGATACGGGGGTGTGGGATGAAGAACGGACATGAAAGATGGGAAGATGGGATGGAGGTTCGGGTGCGACGGGGAAGAGGGTGGATGATGAGGGAGCTGTGATGAGACGGGATGAGAAGGGCTGGGAAGAGAGTGAATTGGCGTCGGAGACGGGAAGGAGGTCAGATGTGGTAAGGGTAGACGGGAGGGGTGGAAAGAGTATGGTTATAGAGCACTGCGGTGGGCTTAATGGATAGTGAGGAACGAGATGGCAGGCTCTGTGTATTCATCGGTGGAGACGCATGCCATGTCGGGTGTTGCGAGGTTTGGGCCGTGTGAGGGAGCTGTGTGAGATACCTTTGGGACCGAGGGTTTGAGACCCCCTCCCTTGGTTTAGGACACGGGTAGGGCGGATTGTGGGGGGTCAGGGACGGCAGGAGGACAGGGGAACGGGGAGTGGACCGTTGTATTGAGTCACGGGGGTTCTGTGTCATCAGAGGTGTGCAGTGGTACGTTATGTAACCTCGTTATGCAATACGGTGTTTCACACCTGGGCAGGTAAGGGAAGGGATGATGCACACTTGGGTGGGGTAGTTGACCAACACACCACATCTTTAGACAAACCTGAGTATGTTATACACCAGAGATAACTAACTTGGGTTAAGCCAAGTTATTTATCTCTTTTGTGCGATTTAATTAATTAATGTTTTCAACATTTGTCCTTGCGGAAATGTTTAGCTGTGTTCCCTACTGGGAATACAGGGAACGGACTTCCCTATCCACAATAGAGGAAGTCATTTAATTTGCAATAAAATAACGGTATTTTTAAAAAATAAAATCGTCTTATTTCTGAAAATACAGAATTATTGTTTTATATATTTTAAAATAAATATAAATATACAGTATATATTCTTAAGGCGCTCACTCGCCCGTGTCACTCCAACTTGGTGGCCACCGACCCTTCTGACGCACACTCACGCACGGCTTCCCTCGCACCCCCCAACGGGGATTCAATGAATTGTCGTGAATTAGGGTCATGATACTCATCATAACTCTACGGTGCTTTCGGTAAAGTCACGTAGGTATCAAATAAAATAAATCACGACGTTTCGATCGCAACACAAGCAGTTCTCCCGCTGTATCTGTTCCACCTGATGACGGTCTCCTGTGTTGCGATCGAAACGTCGTGATTTAATTTATTTTATTTTATATACCTACGTGACTTTACCGAAAGAACCAAAGAGTATGGATCCCTGCAGTCACGAAAACTTCAAATCTAGATTAGGGTCATGATTTTTTGCTTCAATAATATAATCATTCAACCCTTTTAACTTTGTGGCGAACAGAAATAATAATTGTAAGCCGTTTGTTAACCCACTCCTGGATGAAAATTGCGTCAATCGTGCGGCTTGATTGACTATGCAGTCACCGCATGTGTGATCTATGTTGAACTTCTTTCGCATGATACGTCGCCAACCGTGCTAATCGGAGATCGAAACGGGGATGAGGTTCACCTTTTGGAGAGGGACGGTGGAGAGGGGCAGTTGACCACAACACCGCATTTTCAGGTGACCTGGTCTGTGAGGGGGAGGCAGATGTCCGAGCACCCTTCTGACATGGCTCGCGTAACTCTGAAACCCACCAACCTCGTCCTTGACACGCAGTGCTGATCAACTCTGGAACTCGTCGCCCTTCACAGCTGTCTTTCTGCCCGATTGCAACACGCATCGCCAGATTCGTCCAAAATCGCCCCGTGCGATTCTCTCTACGGTTGGTGACGGAGTCATCAACGGATTGTCACCAAACATAAGATGAGGAGGAACCTTTGGCCAGCAGATCCGTGGATCACTTCCCAGAGTCTCTAGCCAATAGTCGTTTGCCACCCCTGGCCTCTGTGGCGCTCATGGTGACTGTGTTAACAATAGAGCTCGACTTGACGTGGTCAGCAAATCTCTGCTGAAGATTATACGAAGAACACGTTATCAGGTGACGGTACACTGATAATGGAGCACTCGGAGGTATCGTTAGGGTCCATATCAGTAGCATATTTCCTGAAGGGAGTGAAGTCCCCCAAATCTGTTTTTTCCCGTGTATATCCACATTCAATGCCCTCTCTTCCCTTCCATCAATCATCACAATGGGGGCTGAACAAACGTCGTCTTCCACTGCTTGCCGTCTCTGGTCATGGCGATCGCTTCCTGTATAGTCAGAAAAGCACATGGCCACAAAGGCTTGTTTGGCCAACCAGAGTGTCCACATGTCGCTTCTTGCAGACCTACGCGTTTCTCTGTTAAGTCCTCCTTTGCACCGTCAATCTACCTCTTGTGTGGATTGGTCTCTAGTTGCTTATTTCACATGGTAGTGCAAGGCCATTTATGGTCATTTGTTTGGCCTCCATTCTCTGTACGCATCCAAGCCAAATCATTATTATGTCTTTGTATAATTTTGCACCGGCCTCCTGCTAGTTTAGCTCTTTCCTCTTGGCCGCATTTCTTAGTCGCTGTAGTTTCGACCCAGGAGATTGTAGGGTTAATCCCATGTCACTGTGTTGATGATGCCAGGTGAATAAATAGCAGATTTTTTTACACTACGATGCTAAGTTTTGATAGCCATTCAAAAGCTTCAGGCGATGCGGACTGAATATCGGAGGTGTTTACGGGCAATGAGTAAGTTACAGGGAACAGTTATCGTTCAATTGTTTGAAGTTGTTTAGCACAATCGTTATGTCTGTGGAGTGCCTTTTGAGTCTCCATTTATGCATGAGGTACCTCCTCTTTTGGAGGTGCGAATCTGCCACTGCCCCCCACCCCACCCTTTACCAAATATAGTAGGTTCCGTGCCTGGAGGCATTAGTTACAGAGATGTGGAGTGTACCATCGCTGATGGGGGTGGCACCCAACCTTCCTGTGTCTGGCCCTGGCAGTGAAGCAGGTAACATTTGCTATGCAGCTATGCAAGGAGGTGGAGGTCACCTGTGACAATGGCGTGGTCAGAATCGGTGTGTCAGCGCGATAGGGTTTTCCTTGATTGAGTGATAACGTTGCCCGTGTGTCTCCGTGCGAGTGTGTGGTGTGTCCGTGCGTGTGTATGTTCAGTCACACCCCAAATTCCAGTCAATATGTGAACATAACCTACAGTCGCCACGCCAACAGCACATACAGTACAGTAACGCCCCCTAATCCCCGGGTCCCGACAAACTCTTTGAGAGAAGGAGAGTGCCACTGTGGTGACGGCGCCGTGTGTGGAGTGTGTAACCCAAGCAGTGCAGGGCACGGCGTGTCCGTGTATCTGTGTGCGGGGAGCGGTCGCGTAGTGGTGAGCGCGCTGCGTTACAAACCCGCTAACCCGACTTCGAATTCCCACTCACGACCAATCAGAGTGGCGAATATTTGAACCGATCCTGGGCCTCTCGGCCATAAATGAGTAACCCTGGTGTGGTGTGTAAACAACAGCACTGGGGAGACAAAGGCGGCCAGCCATGGTGTTGGCAGTGTTTTCCCCAACAGGATGTTAAAAGCTACACGGGGGGTTGTTTGTTGTGTGTCCGGGTGTGTGTATTTGTATGCCTCTCGGTGTGTATGTGCCAAGGTGTATTTATGTGTGCCCTAACGTCGCATGGACACGTGTTCACGTGGTAAAATTAAATCAACCCTTGGTTTTCACTGTGACGCAGAGTCGGTCTAACCATCACCACCACCACCATGCGGAGGGGGAAGTCGCGGGTTCGGAAGTCGCTTTTCATTGTCATCATCAGCACCATTAACGGCGTTTATTGATATTGCGCCCCACACAAGTACTGTATAAGTTAATCCCCGAAGCGCCAACAGAATTACAAAGTACAATTGAACAAGAGCACTGTACCCGGTGGCACACAAAGTTAGCATAGGAAAAAAGTTTCCAAGACAACGAAAACATGTTTATTCTGGGATCTATAATAAATAGCTTAGAACGACCTCGTGCACGGTGACATCATTGTTTGCTTCACATTAACTAATTATTACACAATTTGTGAAACAATAGGTCAGGGCACTGAGCTTGCGGTATCGCCGAGCCCTGACACCGCTGAAATCTTTCTTGGGATTGAATCCAGGCACCTGCCTGTGACTAAACCGGGTCCTCTTTACAGTATTGAGTTGAGATGATCCCAGCTCCGTCATTAATAAAAATATAATCGAACAGACAATCATCACATTACATTTGATTCGGAGAATTGCCAATGCTGTTATGGACTGTCATGTGCTGTCCTCTGCTGTATGGAGCAGATATCAACTTAAGGCACCTCAGAAGAAGTTACGTGATATTGGCCTGCATCAGTTATTCTTTTACACGAAGGATTCCATCTCTGTGCAAGGGTTCCGAATGAATGCTTCACGCAGAAAAAATATCCATTCAAATTGTAATTGTGTTCTATACAGCATTTGGGTAAATACCATACAGTTGTGATAAACATTACGACCATATTCAGAGTGGGTGGGAAAGTGCTGCCCCCCTACGGTGTGTACCAGAGGTCACTGAGTTATATCATAAGTAGTTCTGTGACCTCTGCTTCTGTTAGCTAAAGACTAATACGAAGGGTCGTACTGCTCTCAGATTTTTCTGAATGAATATGTTTAATCTCTCGATATGGTACCAAGAGTATAATTGGTATAAAATTGTAGAAGAAAAAAAAACTGACATATTTTCCGAGTCAAAATCATAATTTGTGATACAGATGCCAGCGGCGGAGGGGTGTGCTGACGCCCTCTGTCGCGATCCTTTGTCGCCACTGTCTCGCCCGTGATGTCCTTCTCGCTTCACGGGTTCCGGGTGGAGCGCGCCCCCATTCCCCAACAAAACCCCCACACTCCCCA